GAATGATTAAAAGGAATACTTACAAACTCTATGGATACACTTACGTTAAATATATTATAATTCATAATGTATATGCAAAGTTCCTAGTGTTTCTGTGAAGGTGCTATGTCCATAGCTGTAGAAGTGAAACCACAACAACTACAACCAGTTCTTAAGGAGCAAGATTCAGACTTGCATGAAAACTGCTCACAAGAAAATAAAAGGCCTACAGCACTAAATTCTGCTCTGCTTTTTACTGTTAACTATTTCCATATTGAATCATGGCACCCTCTTCATTTGACAATAAAGGAGAACAAATCGGTCTCTAGTAGAACGGAGTTACTGAAAATAGGGCTAAGCAATTCAGCTCTTAATTGGGGGGTGTGCTTTTTGAACCATGCTTCTGCCTGGAACAAGAGCAGCTACATCTTGTTTACATCCAAGTGGTTGAAAGAAATTCGGAGTCCAAAGGCTATGCTGTTCACTTATTACATATGACAGGAAACTGACCTGGATACGTTCCACGCTGTCAGTGATGAAGCAGATAACACTAAGACATGAGAAAGCACTTTGCATTGTGCTCTCAAGCATGTTGGAGGAGCTGAACTACTTTTAGCAAGAGACAAACTGCAACACTAAAATTATATTGACTTCTTAATCACAAAATTCTGGGCACAGCATCCCAAAAGAGTAGCTTTGAGTTTTCAGAAAATTTTTCGGAGTCTGAAAGTATTAAAATCCAAAATGTCATCAGGGTTCCCTTAAAAATCAACAGCACTCACTGCTGCTGGTATTTCTCATCAGCTGACTACAGACTATAAGTCAGTGAGAAGGTATTGGTATGGCAGGTAATTACTGTTGCGCACTAATAATAGCATAACCGCTATCAAGCTTTTGTTTGTTATCAGAGGAAAGGAGCATCTTTTGGGGAGAGAGGAAAAGTGGCCCTGCTGCCATTGGAAATGGAAAGGGTACTGAATGGATGAGACAGGTATAATTGCATGTATCAGAACTTGGAAAAGCTTAATATAAAATCTGTGCTGTGGTCTGATGTGAAATTAAGTGTTACAGGCATACTGCAGAAAATGAGCTATTTATTGTGAGAAGAAAGCACGTGTTGAATTTGTAGCAGAAATAAGCAAAATCCATAAAAAACCCATGAGCTACTCAAAATGAGCAGCCAATGGATATTAGGGTACAATTAAAAGATTAATTTGGGCTTGAACTGAATTTGAGGTGTCCAAATGACAATTTAAATTTAGTGGACAGGAAGACATGCTTGGAAGAGTGAGAGAAAAAACATGCGTTATTAAGAAAGTTGCTTTTCAGTCCTCAGATCACCTATCTGTGAGAAGAAAAAAAGGAGACTAACAGAGGACAGAGAAGTACAGAGCTACGAATTTATTTTGATTATTGTGTGGAAGTATCAAACTTGATATCCTGTCCTCAGAACTAGATCCAAATACCAGTTGTTACATTAATATAGACCCAGGATCTGTGATAATAAGGCAGTAATGCTGATCAAGGACTAGTTATTCTGTGTGAGTTTGACATCACACCATGACCTTAATAGCTCCAGCAACTAAGACTAAAAAGAACAGTGACAAATGGCACTAGGGAAACTTATTCCCTAGGAAGCTATTTATCAGTTTAGGATTAAGAAGGCTTCTGTGATCTCCATCATGAGAATGATTCACAAGAAATGCAATCACAATAGCCTACGTGACCAATATTCAGATCTGCTCAGAAGATATTTGGGGTGTTTAGATGTATAGCAGCTAACAGGTATTTTACCTTGCACTGTAATATCATCAGTCATTGTCTTTAAAAAACACATCATAAAAAAAACAGCAAAGATGAGAAATGTAATATATATTAGTTTGATGTTTGACTGATAACATTTACAATGAGAAATCTTTTTTGTTTAAAAATAGCTTTAACAGACCATATAAACTCTGTTTTCTTCAGCAAACTCAGCTTTTTAACCCAAACTTTTGCAAAGCAAAAGTGTTTAAACATTACAAAAATCAATTACTAAGAAGAAAGCAAGCATCAAGATGAAAACAGCAGTAATCAGGTGTGTGTTAATCCAGCTTCCCATGTGCAGGCCAAATAGGAGATATCAAAGGCAACTACAATCTCCTGCAGATTTGAGGCAGGCTTCCCAGTGATCCTCACAAATAATAAAGCACATTTTAGAACTGTACATTAGAAATTATACAATAGTTTTTAACTTATTTTCCATTCTTAAACATGTATGCTACTTTGGAAGACTAGTGGAGTTTTGGAGTCAAGGGCTGGGTATGTAGTCAGAAAAAACAAGCTAAGATGGAATCAACTCAGTGCTGTGCAGTTTGGAGCTTACTTTCCTCTCCTTCCACTTGTCCCTGTACCAGAAATCTCTCTTGTTCCTTCAGTCTTCACTGAAATACCTCTACTTTAGACTAGGAGCTCATTTCTGTAGCACAGCCAAAACAGACGCTGTTGCTCATCTGACTGTTGCTTTGACTCACTTCTACAGACTATTTTCATGAATGTTTCCATATAGCTTCCCTAATCTTACTATGACTTTCAGGCATCAGACTAACAATTCTTTCAGTAATTTGATTTTCCTCTCAGAACAATTCTTCTTGCAAATAACTATGAATGTACTGCTGTTATTGAAATTTTGACTTCTTGTGTAGCTATTAATGTCTTATGGAGAATCCACTACATTTTGTAGAAAGGTATTGAGATAGTAATAATGGTAATATCTAAGCTTATCAAGACAGGGCATAAATCAGAAATGAATTTAATTAACAAATATGTCAATATAAAAATAGTCTGAAATCAGTGTAAAAAGTACAGAAAAAAATGACATTCTTGCTGTGGCTACTGTCACAGGTAATGCATGCTCTTTAACTAAACCCTCTCTTCCAGGTTTTGCAAAAATTAAAGCCACAAATTAAGGCTATGGCTGTAAGTATATTTAAATGCTTGTACACCTTACTTAGATGCACTAAGAATGTGCAGAACCAAGATCAAAGTTTCTATTGCCTAGTTAGCTTGCATGTAGCAAATACAAACTAGAAAATTTTAAATAATTTAAATACTCTGTTTTAGAGTTGCATAATTTATTACTGCTGATTATGACTTTTCAAAAACAGATTTCACTCTAAGAAAAGAAAGGATGTCATAAATATGAACAACTGATGCAAAACATGTATTTGTTAATTTGAAAGGACAGTTTTTAAATGGCAGGCACAATTGTAGCCTTCTTGATGGTTTTTCCTAACACAAACATACTTACATTGCCAAGTGAGTATATGCATCTATCTTCAGGATCTGTTTTGGAATTATTAGTATTATATTATTACATTAGAGTAATGAATGTATTCAAGACAGCACTTTGGGGAGCAATAACTGTAGCAGTCACAGAGTTAATGCCATTCAACTGTTGCCCTACTATGTTCCTGCATTACCTAAATAGTACTAATTATCATTTAGAAGCTGTTGAAAGTGCAGTACCATTTGAGTACTCTCTGTCATATATATGATATGAAAAAGTATAGCTTGCAAGGATATGAATATTCTCTGTTTTTTCATTTACTGTTTGCCTGATGTTGTTATGGATTTACAATAGCCCACAAAAAAAAATGTTTTAAGTAAATACGGTACAAATGAGATGAAACCAGAATGTAGATGGTAACATCTGATTTTAAATCTTCAAGCAGAATTTTTTGTTTCTGCCTAATACTAACATCTCAGAGCAAACCATGAGGTGTCCGCTCAAGATTTTCATAAGTTTTAGGAGTCCTATTTTATGATGGCTGTTATTGAAATTCTATTCTGTCCTCCAGGACTGAACTGTAGTAGGATTCTGCACTGTAATTACAAAGTCGAAGCTTTATGGTCGCAGCTTTAGAATTAAGTAACTTGCTTTGTTTTCTAGCAATACAAGAGATTAAAAAATGAATCTATGGGTATAATAGATGGCACATTCTGAGAATTTATAAATAGATCTCTTCTGTTCATTTACGAGTTTAGCTGAAGAAAAACAAATTATTCAGCCAACTGCCCATCAGCTACTTCCTTTGTCTTGCACAATATTTATGCAGGATACTCATTAAAACTTCTATATCATTAAAACTTAAGGATAATTCTAATTTTTTACTTTTTGAAAACTACATTTGATTTTTAAAGGCATTTCTTTTCATGTCATTAGTCATTCTATTTCTTCTTTCTTAGATCCTAATGTTCTGGAAGAGAAAATAACAGTCAGCTCAGGTCTCTTTCAAAATGACGAATGATTCCCATTTATGAGACTGGAACAGAGGCACTTTGTTCTTATCAAAATGGCAACCGCCTCTATTGCACTCTAGATGAAGGAATCCAGCAGTATTTATAAAGCCTGGCCCTGTCAGTCATGAAGAAAAAGGACAAATCCTTATGAGTTTTTCAGTAAGCGGTGATTTTCTCAATCATACTTTTTTTTCCAGGCAGTATTTTTGTTTTAAAACTATCTTAGGTGTGGAGTCTACTTATACTTAGGCTTATAAATTTTATAAGACAGATAGCAAATGCCACGATCATGACAAAAAAAGCCAACATAACCATATACTTTAAATTATTTCTGCTCTATAAGAACAGATGCAATTACACTCTTATCATGCTTGCAAAACTATAATAAACAACAGAATTAGTTTGTTTACCTTCCTCATGTATTCTCCTATCTACCATATTTTGTTGTCTTCAATGCTAACTCTGCATTTCCTGAATTAAGAATTAAATGTGCTGAGGATATTTGCACATTCCTGCAGAGCACTTTCATATGCATTAGCAATATGTACTCTCAGTGTTGGTTCCACTTTGTTTTAATTGCAGCAATTAAAAAAAAAAAAAAAAAAAAGACCTTTTCAAATAAATAAATAAACAAATAAATCACTATGATACAAACCAATCCACTTCTCATTATACAAGTTAATTCCTGATAACCTAGGCAATCATTTCATATTCAAAAATGCTGATTTAACAACACATACCTTGACTTTTTCTAAGTGATCCTGCAGAGAGTCAATCAGCAGATCCCCCACTGGCTGCCAGGATCCCTTGAAAGCTTCAGCCTGGCGCAGTTTCAGGTCCAGTTCATCCATCGCTTCCTGAAGGCCCTGCAGCCTTTCAAGAGCATCATCTATCTTCTTTTGCCAATCAGCAGAACGTAGATTTAGCTTATCCCACTCAGTTCTGACATCATCTGCTTGCCTTCGGAGAACTTTAGTAACATTCTGAGCCCTCTCCTCAGGTGATAGCTCTAAATATAAAAGTTGAGAGAATTTTAGGATGTACTCTGTCATACAAAAAAAAACCAAAAAACTTGCCAGCTGGGTAAGCCTAAAAAGTTCAAGGCTTATTTAGAAACTATTCAAAACCAATGACAAATCAAATTTATTTTATATGTGTTTTTATTTGTAAATCTCTCAAATCCATTTTTTCCCCAATACTGATAAAAAACCCACACGTTTACGTAATGGCATTTTAAACTTGTAGCTACACCTTGCTGTATCCTGATTCAATGAAGAAGTCCTGCACGTACATAAATATTAACCACTGTGAATCACTGCAACTGAGTGGATTTGGGGGCTTTGCCGTACTGATTTCTCTTGTTTTTGTTTCATAAATGATCACTAAACAAATGACATAGTTCTGAAATACTTAGGCTGTAAGTTGAATTCAGGTTTGAACCGTAGCTTTCAGATCTCAAATGGGACTACAGTTCTGGATACATCCAGAAGATTTAAAGCCAGTTTCAATATCTACTTATAAATATGAATGTCTATTTAGTTCCGCACTGTTCAAAAGCATCACTAAGGGTTTCTTCCATCTGTATTTTTAGCTCTGTTTCTGAATACTGAGATTGAGCTTGGAATGTAAAAGGAATGCTCTCACAGTGGCTGGCAGAATTTATTTAATCATCACTGATCATTAATGATCTTTCTAGCAGCTCTCTCTTCAGTTACCTCTTGGTTCTGGATAGACCTTCTCCAGTCCCTCTGCCGGCTGTTCTGCCAGGAAGAGTCTCACAGTCTCAAGTGCACTCATGATGACAGGTTCTTTTGTTTTCAGCTCCCTCTTGAAAGTCTGTGAGAAAAAAAAAAAAAAAAAAATTGCAAATGGTTATACAATGAAATACTAAGTGCTACCCCTTTTATTGTTATTTTTGGTCAATTAAAGAACAAAATTTTAAACATCAGCTTCCACATGTGAAAGAAGCTGCCAAAAACGTAATGAAGCTTTACTTAGCCTGAAATTCCATTCACTTGTATTCAAAGGAGCTAACATCGGCAGCATGTTGCAAAGTACCCAAGGATGCACATCCAATTACCTACTGTGAGAGAGTACCTTCTTTTTGCTGGTTAACATTACATTCAGCATCAAAACTTAGCTGCAAGTAGCAAAGCTTTGGCTGGCTCCATAGTATATCAGCTTAGTTAATGCTTCCTGAATGTGAGATTTCCCAGAATATGAGGGAAGACCCAATGTGATTCACAGCAGCTGCTAGCAAGTTACATCACAAGGAGAGAAAAAAGAACTATGGATATTGTCACGCTAACACCTAACGATCAATTCCAAGAAACCTAAAAAAAATTCTACATATTACATTATTGCATTGCAGCCCTCTCTACTAGTAACACTGTAGATTCTGTTCTTCCCATGTTACACCACCTGAGATTTCTGAAAAGTAGAATTGAGGCAACAGTGAAAATCCGGAAATACAGTCCAGCCTAAATGTAGGCATGAACAAGTAGAAATGTCTCCTTTTTTGTCTTCTTTCCTTCTTCCCTACTTGCATTTTTCTTCCTCCAGCAACAGTTCCTCCTTTTCTATCTCTCTTCTATTCCCTGACTTTAAAATGACCATAAATAAGGTTGCCAAGGTTGGTATTTAACGTTCCACTTAGGTACAGTAAGGATACAAACCTCAGAGACATGAAACAATTTCAAGAAGAATCTTTTTTTTTTTCTTTTTTGAGAAATTAAAATGCTATTATCCTGAACCCAAGATGCTTGCTGCACTAAAAATGTAGATGGTAGCTCATCTGTGAATTGCATATCATATGGATTCTTTTGCATGCTGTTTTGAATGCTGTATTATCTAAATATTTTGTCAATAATTTCTTTCTCTTTATGAAGGAATATTGAGTGCATATTGTTTAAGTAGCAGAGAGGTAAAACATGAAGAAAGTTATAGTGCAGTATAACACAACGTAATTGCGCAAAAGTGAGAGCCAGCACCAAGAGACTCTAGAGATTAGAAACTTCTTTTTACGACACTGAAATTATATATTTTTTCCATTATAAATCCACCAATACAGTTAAGTATAAACAAAATTTTGGTTATTATGCAAACTAATGAAAATTTTAAATTCAATATTAAAAAGTTCATTGATTTTGAATTACATTCAGTACGAAATACTCTGTAAAAGAAATACTTAACAAAACTAATAATAAGAATAATAGCTGCAGTTCATCATATGAGCAGTTACAGGTAAAATATTCTTAACACATTTCAGGAAGGTAAACTTTAGCAAACGACTATATTATTATGTGAGGAATAATTGCATGCACCAGTACAGGTTGGGGGATGAGCTGCTGGAGGGGAGCTCTGCTGAGAGGGACCTGGGTGTCCTGGTGGACGACAGGTTGGCCATGAGCCAGCAGTGTGCCCTTGTGGCCAAGAGGGCCAATGGCATCCTGGGGTGCATTGAAAAGAGCATGGCCAGCAGGTCGAGGGAGGTGATCCTCCCCCTCTACTCTGCCCTGGTGAGGCCTCATCTGGAGTACTGCGTCCAGTTCTGGGCTCCCCAGTGCAAAAAAGACAGGGATCTCTTGGAAAGAGTCCAGCGGAGGGCCGCAAAGATGGTGAAGGGCCTGGAGCATCCCTGCTATGAGGAAAGGCTGAGTGAACTGGGTCTGTTCAGCCTTGAGAAAAGAAGACTGAGAAGGGATCTAATCCAGGTTTATAAATATCTGAGGTGTGGGGGGCAGAATGGCGAGGCCGGACTCTTTTCAGTGGGGAGTGGAGACAGGACAAGGGGAAACGGCCGGAAACTGCAGCATAGGAAGTTCTGCACAAATGTGCGCAAGAACTTCTTTACAGTGAGGTGACGGAGCACTGGAACAGGCTGCCCAGGGAGGTGGTGGAGTCTCCTTCTCTGGAGATGTTCAAGACCTGCCTGGATGCCTACCTGTGTGACCTGCTGTAGGGAACCTGCTTTGGCAGGGGGGTTGGTCTCAATAATCTCTGGAGGTCCCTTCCAACCCCTACAATTCTGTGATTCTGCTACAAATATTTAAACAAACCTTCTGTTGAGTGGTCAAGAACTGACCACAAGTTTCTCAGCAAGTTTGCTGATGGTACAAAACTGAGAGGAATGGCTGACACACCAAGAGGCTGCACTGCCATTCGGTGAGACCTGGACAGGCCGGAGAATTGGGGAGAGAGGAAATTGATGAGGTTCAACAAAAGCAGGCGTAGAGTCTTGTGCCTGTGGAGGAATAACCACACGCATTAATACACGTCAGGGGGTGACCTGCTGAAGAGGACCTCTGCAGGGAAGGACCTGGGTGTTCCAGTGGACAGCAGTTTGGAGCAGGTCATGGGAGGTGGTCTCCCCCTCTACTCTGCCCTGGGGAGGCCACATCTGGAATACTATGTCCAATTCTGGGCTTCCCAATTCAAAAAAGACAGCGATCTCCTAGGAGTCAAGCTGGGGATGACAAAGATAATGAGGGGCATCCCAATTATTAGGAAGGGCTGAGATAATGGGTCTGTTCAGCCTTGAGAAGAAAAGACTAAGTGGGGATCTGATCAATGTTTATAAATATTTTAAGTTCAGGTGGCAGTCAGACAAGGCCAGATTCTTTTCAGTGGTGTGTAGTGACAGGACAAGGAACAATTGCCAATAACTGGAACATACAAAGTTTCACACAAATATGCAGAAGAGCATTTTTTACAGTAAGGGTGACCATGCACTGGAACAGACTGCCAAGAGAGGTTGTGGAGTCTTCTTCTTTGGAGATGTTCAAGATATGTCTGGACAATCCTACTTGTGCAACCTTGCTTTAGCAGGTGGGTTGGATTCAATGATCTCTTGTGGTCCCTTTCAATCCCTGGGATTTTGTTATTCTTTGATTCATAATTGTGAATTGTGAAAATCATTTAACAAAGTGAGCTTTTCCGGAAGGAATTGATACTGTCAGAAATGTTTATTTTGTGCAATGGCTATCAGTGGGACTGGGATCCTTTCACATATTACATCTGCTAAGGAATCTACTGTTTGGTTAATAACTGTGATAAATGTTATAAATAATATTGTTGACCTGTAAGAATCAATACCTTGATTTCCACAAATTAAGAAAGGTACTGTGTATTAACAAGAAAGCTACACCATAGGACACTGTGCTACACAGAAACTCAGGTTACTCCTTGGATAAGCAGTTCTAACTTCTTACATAATTTCAGATTTGGAAATTTTTATAATATGTATATGACTCTTACATGCAGTGCAATGGAAAGAGCAAATTTAAAAAGCTTTTCCATGCCTCTAAGCTGGGAATATTTACAGTGTTCACCAGCCTTTGTGCTAGTGAAAAAACCTCCTTTCCCACTAGATGTGGGACGGCTGCAGCTCAAGTTAACCAGTAGGTAGCAAAACTTAAAATGTTTCTTTATATACTATGTGCTCCCTTCTCATCTGACAATGTTAAAACTAACACCATACTCATATTTGTCTTTAATTATTGCAATTATGCCACTTAAAAGATACATTGTGCTTTTATAAAGACTGCTGAAAACAAATTATTTTTAAAAAATGTTTATGCGTACAATCAGTAAAATGGGAGGCACATACAGAAAGGTCTGTGTCTGCCTCCAGACACAGAAGGAGAAGGAAAGCAGAAAGGAAACACAGATGTTCCAGGAAAGGGAACACAGAACTGCAACAACTGATATGATATTTAAAACTCAGAAACAGCTCTAAGCCTTGTATTTGGGGATGAGAAGTACTGCTGTATAGAGTGTTGCTGTAGTCAGATCAGCCGTAGCAAAGGTGCATGTAACAGTGAGAAGGACAAAATACCTTCTTTCAGCATATATTACTTTTTCTTGAAGACTAAATCACCCAAACACACGTGGTGGCATCATATTTCCAAAACAGGATTATAACCACATTCCTCCATCATCTTATTCTGTGCAACAAACTAAGGACAATGTAGTCAGATAGGCACACCACATCCCACAAGATGTGTGATCAGGAATCATATACCTTCCCAAAATGATACAGAAGATCTAGTGATAATTTTCTGACTTTGTGTATTTTCCAATTAATCACAAATGGGAAGAGTTTACCATAGAAAACAGTGAGCCAATGTGTTAAATGCTTTCCAACTTTTACCCTAAGGGATAGGACCGTAATCTATAAATCCCAAGATTTAGATCAGCATGCAGTGTAGTAGTGAGAACTTACAGTTCTCATTGCCTCCCCTACTTTTCATCTGTACACTTCTATCAAGTGAGTTAAAATACATTTCAAAAAAGGAGGTAACAAAAAATAAAAAAAAAAAGAAGAAACTGAAGCAGTAGCACTGAGTAGCGTCAAAAATAAATAATGACTTTTCACCTCATAATATTCCATTCCACATTTTTTGTATGAAGCCAGTTTTTTCCAATTCTTTTTTTTTGTGAAATATACTCTACCAATAAAAATCATTATCTGAAAAAAATGACATTTCCTATTCCTAAAAAAAAAAATCTATCTAAAGCTCTGACAAACACATCTCTAAATAAGAAGACCATCATTGATAACAGAATTAGCCTAAATGACTGTCTAATTTACAGATAATTATTTCAGGCTAATTTCATTGAGTTCCTGAGGTTCTTCCTCACTTTGTGGTGACTATAGAGGAAATCGAACATTCATAATATATGATCTGACAAAAAAACAAGTAAACCACTTTATTTAAACATCTCTATTTGTCATCAGTCCTGCAGCAGTAATGGTATTCTGCCCACTGCTTCAATAATGCATATATTGATCAGCTTATCGCAGACCTCCACTACCTCTTCATGGGTGTCTAAAAATTTCTTTGGTTGGAGAAACACAGATTTTTTAAATTGCAAGATGAAAATACAATGAAAAAACAGAGTTGTTTTAGTAAAACTAGTACTAAACTCTATTATCAGAAAAGCAGATGATTTTGCTTTTAATGATTTTTAAGGAGAAAAAGTATAGTTAAACGAATTCAAAATCAATCGGAATGCTTTTTAAAAAATGGGCTTGGACTGCCATTTCAAAAAGTAGGTATCAACTGTGCCACCAGAACAGGCTAGTGTGTTCAAGCAGGATTCACATTCCCCTGGCACATTTACTATAGATTCCATGCAAAAGAGTTTGGAGAGAACAGTTAGTAATAAACTTCTGTATTCATTAATGCTATTTATTCTGCTAATACAATTCCCACGCAAAAGATGTGGCAAGTCTAAATAGACTGACAGTAAAAGCAGGCTGCCTGTGGGATGCCTAAATTGCAATCCAGGAAACAGAGATTATCAGAATATGTACATAGTTATTAACATGATTTTGTTAAAACACTGTCATGACTCTTCACCAAACAAGATGAGGAAACAATACTTTGATGAAAAGGAGTATTTTTGATCACTGCTTTAAAATAAATGCAGAACAAGCAAACAAACAATAAAACCCCTGTACAGTCTTTGGTGTGACACATCTTTCTTCAAATGCAAAAAAAAACATCAAAATAATGCATATACATGTAAATTCAAACAAAAAGCAGTTATGTGGGAGTACTGAGGATAAAATCCAAGGTGCCTTGCCTAAAAATTACCTCACATTTATAATGCAGCAATGAAACTGACAGTATATACGTCTGAGAGTTCAAGCCTCATCTGGCATAGTTTGAAGCATTCGAAATTTTCATTTGAATTTAATCCTACTTTTAAAATTTTTTATGCCAACCTTGGCAACTGGGAGCATTCAAATGATTTTTTCTCTCTCCTATGAATATTTGAGGTATTTCAGATAGTCTTCTAAAAGATAGAGGTTAAATAATAAGCTTTTTTTTTTTTTTTTTTTTTTTAAAGTAACATTCCTAAAGAAAAAAAAATCGGCTTGTAATAAGCTACACTGCTGAGGCTTTTTCTTCTCTCCAATGAACAAATTACCTGGGTTCACTTCTGGTCTTAAGTGGCAAAAACAATTTTTCACAGAAAGGCATTTTGTTGACACAAGTAGACCAAAGCTACAGGTCTGGATCATTTAGAAGGTTGGTCAAAGCATGTAGAAACTCAGATTGTTTACTGAAGAGTCATTTCCATAACGGACACTGATGACAACAACATGAGTAAATTCTCTGACTCAAGTCTGAAATTCAGCTACTCTCTACTTTTATGCTCTGAGAGCTCAGTTTTTTTTAGCAAGGGCATACAGCTCTTGAAAAATTAGCTTTTCTGTGCTCCAGTTTTATGCTAGAGATCTTTACATTTGAGGTGTCAACCTTCCTAACAGTATTTTTCTGATGTTCAGAAATGGACTAGATGTTCGCTCAGGCACAGTTTTTGTACGTTTGCTTGTCTAAAAGAAAACTTTTAGAGTAACAGAAAGACCATAGCATCTAGTTTTAAAAAAAAAATAATAATTAAAAAAAAAGAGTATAAAAAGCCAAAGCTGCAAACACAGGGTTTCGTCAAAGACAATCTGAAGTCAGAAGAGTTCCGCACTGATTGTTTTTCCCTCCTTCCCTGTAAGAGATCTTTGAAGAGTAGACAGGGCGACCTAATTTCAAGGATTATATTTTGTTCTTTTTTTTTTCCCCACAGGGAACCAGAGCACCTACAGCTAGAAAGGCCTCACATTAAACTACAGATACTACAGCACAGAAAAAGGAAAGATGTGATATTTTTAAAAGGAACTAAAATGTTCTAGCTTTGATAGAAAGAAGAAATGACTGAGACATCAGGACCAAAGATTTGCATCTGTATGTATCTGCATGTGGGAGAGAAGATAATCAAAAAGGAGAAGTGAGAAGGAGACCTAGTTTGTAAAGTCACTTTGCAGCTATTTATGGTACCTTACTTTTATGTAACACTTCTTATCCCTAATAGTTTTAACCACTTATGTTGATTTGTGAGTGACAATCACTTAGTACATCACCGAATCCTTAACACCTTTGGAATAGCTTACAGAACAATATACAACATTAAAATTTTATGAGCAGTAACTTCACAAAATGAAAAATTTATTTTGTTTCTCTTGGAGGAAAGGTAATGTTGTCAAGTACTCAAACATTATTCAGATAACAAAAGTTTTGCTGCAACAATTCCACAGAAATCCTTCTCGAAGTCTTGCTCTAACTCAAATGTGGCCTTTGGATAAAGGGTTTGAGTTAATGTAGAGTTAAAGCAACATCTATTTCATTTCTTACATCCTGAGAGTCTGTTTGGTTTTTGTGGTTTTGAAACTGTCTCGGAAGCTGCTAGAGCCAGCTGGCTAGAACAGACCTCAGGTGTTTCAGAGAGTAAAAAAGGAGAGTGGTAAAGCCATGGATATTTTAGCCTTACTGTTTTCATGATAACGCTTAAAGTCCCAAGAAAAGCTTTGTGAAAACATCCATCCTGTAGATTACCCCTTTAGAAGGAAAACCTAGAAAATGAGACAGTGTTGCCACTGCTCTCCATCATTCAGCTGCTATGGAAGAAGCTTTATTTGCCTGCGTCAAAAGCCAAGCCTGGTTTTATTTAAGATTTGTGGACTTTTCACAAACCTGGATTGTCAGTAACTTAAAGCAGCAAGATACATTGTGTGACCTTTCTAAACTCAATCTTAGTGTTTGCTCCCAAATGTGCCCTTTGGGATTAGGAAGGAAAATCTTTTAAAGAAATATCTATAATATAGCTATCCAATGAAGGGAGAAAATACAGGCATTACAGATCTGGTTTCATTTTATAGAATTATTTTAGACTTTTCCATGCAGTAATAAAAACAGATTTAAAAACTTCCATAACAATATCTTATGTGGCAAGTTTCAAAAATGGCATTGTGAAATGCTCCTACATAGGTGCACAGCACATTTTGCAAGGATGATCACTGGGTTTGGAATACGTTTTCATCTCACAGTATCATATTGTCTGGAGATGACATAGCAAATTATGTGCTGCTTACTTGAAACCAGACTTTAATTAGTGTGAGACAGCTGTGAGTTTGATTAAGCATAGGAGTATATACTTAAAGTATGAATTTCCCACTAGAAAAAAAAAAAAAAAAAAAAAAAAAAAAAAGGAATCTTTGTATGAAGAATTATTGAGCAGTATTAGGTTATTTAAGGGGTCATTTATCTGGTGAGTTTCCCAAAAATCCCACACAGTGTTGGATTTAAGTTCCTTTTTACCACGAAACCTAGTCTGGACCAGACTCCGTGTGATCTTCTGCCATTTCCTTTCCCTAAGAATTCCTGATGAAATTAGTATGAGTAACAGTAACAGTCAGTAACCACAACAGCTTCATGACGTACACAGTTGTGCATTACAACTGGTATCAGCTACAGTTTTCATTAATGTTCACCAAAAAACAACAGCAAAACAAATAGGGTTTAAAAATTCACTCATGAAATCTAAATGTCTGATCCAGAAAAAAGATAAAATAAAATCAGAACTACTGATTTAATCTTCAAATAACATTGCTAATATCTTTTCTAGACATGAAACTGCCTATGACAGTTCTATGAAAATACTGTCGGTTTTCAGAAAGCCAAGCAGCTGTAGCAAATACTCCTTTTTCCAACAGACTCATTTTCTAGCCTGTGTTTGAAAATTTTAGCTAGTATTATGTAAAATTTCATTAAGTCTAAAATGTATTTCATAAAGTATCTCACTTTTTCCAACATGGACAATGTAACCCAACAGCAAAGTGCAAAACAAAATGCAACTAATGAAAGCTCATTTGAAAAAAACCATACCCTATGAACATCATTCTGCTTCTGCACAGTGGGAAGATCTCCACCAATGGGTGCTTGCTGTTTTAATTCATCCTCCTTCAATTGCAGCCATGCCAAAAGTTCCTGAAGAGAGAGATGTAAACGCTTCCACTGGTCTGTACTGGCTTCCAAATGAGATCTGAAACCATGTATTAAATATTAGATGCATTCAGACAAAGTGAAAGTAAAAAAAAAAAAAGAAATACAAATTTATTCACTGATAAAGATTGTAGTGTTTTGTTAACTAGACAACATTTAAATACCTTCATCAGCTTTGAATCAGACACTGGTATAATTTTGATTCCACAGCTGTGGCTCGACAAAGCAAAAGAGTTATGTGGAATTGTCATTCTCACTAAACACGCACAAATACAATGCAGGACCAGTAAGAGAACAATTTTTTCATCACTCAGGACTGCTGGGTACTAACCTAAAGGTAGGGAGTACTTTTCAACTCAGAAAAGAGCAAGCATTTGTCTAAACCATTACATAAAACATTCAAGCCCACACAAGAATCATGTGGCTGCTCACCTTTGAGATAAAAGAACCAATACCATCCCTTCCCCAAAAGAAACCTCCAATGCTGCACAAAAAGTCTGTGCCTCACGAAATGAGGTGTGACTGAAACTAACTGAATAACAGCAAACTTAAGGTATACTACTTTTTGTACAAACAACGACTCCACCATAAGACAACCTTATAAACATTTTCTCTGAGTGTGTGTAAATGCTCTTCTCTCTTAAGACTAGTTCTTGGCAACTACTTTTTGCTGGAAGAAAATATGTGATAAATCTCTGTATTGACAAAATCTTCCATTTTGTTTATATCATTGATAATAAGAGTCTGTCCTGCTAAATTTATGAATATGCTGATGCTGTTTATTTGCTGATTGGGAAGAAATTCTTACTTCATTCCCACGCAACTTAAGAATTCCTTTTAAAAACTAAAATGAAAAGCAGTATTATACGACGGTAAAACAAAATGATACACTTTGCAAGGATTTCTGCAAGGATTATGTACTAAGACAGATTTTCGTCTCATTTCTTTTCTAACTTTCAGCTTTGGTCTTACTGCTGAATGTTGCTGGAGGTGAGGAGCAGTGCTGCCTCACAGTAGGCACTGCAATGCTGGGGCACGCTGGCCACTATATGGGGAGCTGTGGTAAATAACAGCCAGTGGGCCTTTGGAGGAGACACAGCTAAAGAGTAAAGTTTCTGAGTTAGTTAGCTCTAGCCTTCCATCTCATCTCACCTCAGCAAATGCAACCTTCCATCTCCTTCAGATTAGCACAGTAACTGGATGTGAATGCAAGGAAATGAACCTCGCTTTTCTTGACAACCACCATACACTTTACCTAGCTGAAATGCACTGGACTGTGAAAAGAATGTCCACCTAACCAAGGGACAGGATGACTGTTCTGTTCCAGCAGTTCACAGCATCCACCAAAAAAGAAGAATCATGGGACTGATGCCTGGGTAACATTTTATCTTTCTGCTCTTACACCTCCTTTGTGTAAGCACCAATATAACTATGATGAAATCTATTCCACATTGTGAGATGGAAAGAAATAGCACAGAGCAGTCAGACTGAGAACAGCCCATTCATTCAGTTCGGTGGCGGGCAATAGTTATGTTGAATGTCTTAGGAATTACAAATTGGTTCTTATTTTACTATTTTAGAAAGGAGTTCTGTTGCTTTGAATCTGTAATGTAACAAGCTAATGCCATACAACTAGAGCTAGTACGTCTGACAGTTAATGACAGCAATACATTGAACTGTAAAAACAGAAAGAAAGAAAATCCCAGGACACCCATATATTTAATGACTGCTATTTGGCCAATTTGATGTTGATTTTTTTTTTTTTTTTTTTTCCTCAAGCATCACTGCATTTTGGCAAATTCATGGGTAAAAGACATCTGAAGAAAAAATTCTGAAGGATTGTCTGTTTCTTTTGCTCCTCAAAAAAAAAAAAAAAAAAAAGTCTCCTTCTTTAGTCACTAATATATTTTCAACCTCACATTCTTCATTTCTTTTTAATGATTGATGTTATGAAGATGGCTTTTGTCATTACACAGACTGACCTCCCTCAGGGCCCAAGCTGAAAGAAGCTAGTATTTCATAAATTACTTTGAAAAACACTTCTGCCTTTTGCTGCCCTCTGAACTACCACCAACACACAGCAAATGAGCAATTGAAAAAATGTCCAAGACTGAATGCAATGGAGTTGGGCCGTCTATTGTGAAAGACACATTTCTGAAGACAATTTTTCTGGACAGTTTCTTTGGAAATTTTCAGCCCACTGAAGCCTATATATCCATGTCATGACTTGTAAAATTACCATTTATTGTATTTTCTCTTGCAAGGAGATTTTCCTCTTACAGAACTATTTGGAAATCTCCTTCTACCCCTGGATTTTATTTGGTAATTTTGATCACTTTTCAGACAAAAGAAAAAATCTTAAATAACATCTTCCCATTTGCAAGGCCATTCTTAGTTATGCACTGGAAATGGCAGCCTTAGAAATAAACCTTTTCATACATATAGGTTGTCTAATTACTTGACTCACTGATAAGTCATAACCAACCAATTTAGGAGTACAGTTTGTGTTTAAACATGTTAATCTTTCCTTCTGTAACTACAAAACCTCATCGTATGTCTCAAATCCTAATCCCCTACTATCATTTACACACACACAAAAAAACCCTAGTAATTCTTACAAAGTTAAATCAGCACAAATCATTTCAAAATAGAAACAGTGCTATCAGAAACCTGTTTATACCCTTTTACTGTCACGAGGCAGATGGAACGACTAACACACCAGCTGTAAGCTTTTGATTAGAGTCATGTCCTACCTAATGTTTAGCGATTTCTTCCTAAGCTCACTCCATCTGAAGTTCATGTTATCCAGACGTCTCTGCAACAGGACAGCATCCTCTGAGCCTTCCAGGGATCTCAGGATTTTCTGCCCGTTTTCATCCAGGTTGTGGAAGATGTCAGTATGTGCATCAATTTCTGCCTGTAGATCCTAAAGAAGCAATAGAAAATAACATGTGATTTCATACCGAATCACAGAAACTACTACTTCTCAAGAGTGGAAAAATCCACAGTCCAACACAGAGTCAGTAAGATTATGATTATTCCTCTTGTGGCAATGTTGTGTAGTAAACACCCTTTCACTTTTGCAGGAAGGATGTTTGACTTGAAAGAGGATCCTCTTTCCATATGAATCCTACTGAACAAATGTTAAAGAATGTTAAAAGTCTAGCTTTTGTCAGGCAAGAAAGCAAAGACATATTTACTGTGCTGACAAGGGAAAAACCAACCAACCAATCAACCAACCAACCTACCCCTGGGGATCCCAGGTAAATCTGACCTTCACGTGATAGGTTTTCCTGTGCAACATTTTCAGTTTGAGCTGAGGACTGCAGCACTGCTCCTGCTGCATGGCAGTTCCAAGAAATCTGCGCGTCTGCAGCAGCAGAGCTTTTAAAATGCCAAGTTCCCTTACATTCTGTTGACAGAACGCATTTCAGATCACAGACCTCAGCAGTCAATAGCAATAAACAACCACTTTGTGCTGCATCAAAACAGTCAGGGCCATGGCTGTAGGAGGGCCTGCAAACAGAAAGGACCCAGAATATGCAACCAGCAGCTCATGTTGAACAGCCAGCTCTTCTTATCACTTTGTAACTACAGGCCAGCTCTACATTTTGAATTCATTTTTCCCCCTCATTTTCAGCAAGGCTGTTGCTGCCAAGAGAACATTCCTTTGAGAGCTGCCTGGTACCAGCATTCCTGCCTGCCCACGCTCTGAATGCAGCCTTTGTGCAGGGGCTGTGCGGCTCACGGACGCTGTGTGCTGCAGCCCCACGAGGTCACAGACTCACTGAGAGAGAGTAATGGCAGAACCATGCTCTTCAAGCTGAACAACAATAATGATAACAATTTAAATATACACAGGCATGCACACACTCTATACGTAATCGCAGCTGCACAAAAATACTATTTTGTAACAAAGTGCACTGGTCAAGTGAATAAATCCCATTTTTACATGGGATGCTTGGTCACCAGGAGCTCTGGCTGTGGTTTCTTGCTGCCTGAAATGAGAGCATAGGGGGATGAAGTAGGAAAGGTGAAATGATTGACGGCCTTTGAGGGATGACCCAGAGCCAACTGATCATCACAGACAGACCCCAAAGGAAACTTCTTCAAATTTGCTTTAGAAGAGTGACTTTGAAGGAGGGAAGCACACAACTTGCCTACTTGATGTGTTCCTAATTGAATTGGTTTGATTTGATATTTTAAGTGCAATCTTAGCAGCACTGAATCATAAGTAGATTGTCCTCGTTCACTTATTGCTGTTCCAAGCAACATTTGCTGTACTTTGCCGGATACCTACTTTGTGCACAGCAACAACTAGCACCGTACTTGGAACAATTTCAAGGAGGGTAAGGCATGTCTGTGGTACAGCACAGGAGTTCTCATTCAGCTATCTTACTTTATCTATGTTCATCCTGGCAGTAAAATAGGAATGAGTTTGGAATACACCAGAAGTAATTCAGCAGAACACAGTTGTTACTATAAAGACTATATTTTTTGATTGATGTTAAATACTCATGGAAATGACGCAACTTTGTTAGCACTGGAACTAAATGTGACAACTGTAGTTTTAATCTAAGAATGGAAATTTCATCACGTGACCTGACACCTAGGCTGGGAATTGAAAGTAAGAGCTGGCAGAACTTTTTTTTTCCCCCCTTTCTCTCTCTCTCTCTCTCTTTTTTTTTTTTTTTAAATTGGAGGAGGGAAACTTGTAACATAGCCATAAACTCGGGAAATGCAGATTGAGCCCTCAAAAGAAAGACCAAGGATTCGTATAGTCTTCAGAATAGGCAAAAATCCCATATTTTGCTAACAATCAGGAGGTATTTAAACATGCAAGGGACTAAAGAAAAACAGTTGAGAGTTGCACAGTTGATAAATTTATATTTATATAAACACACATATATTCCTACTCTCAATGAATATATAAAGGTTTATGCAGAGTCTTAGATTAAAAAGGCAAACAATTTTCCAGAATTATTCCTCTTTCAATTTAAACATATGTTTCAGAGAAGCAATCTATTCTGATTTTTAAAGATGTTATTACTAAGGTACATAAACATGTATGTTATTCCAGGTGTGAATGCCCTCACTTGAAAATTGGTCTTTATTTCAATTCTGAATGTCGACAGATTCAGATTCCAACTTCTATATTTTATTTGTTTGCTAGAGAGTACTCTTTTACTAAATTTCATTCCTTTCATGTATGCATTTAGATACGCTAAGTCAGTCTTGAGGTACCACAAAACTGAGGTAAATAGCCACAACAATATACAGGAAAGAATAAAGTTCACAGTAAAAAAGTTCACTTTTAATATTTGCATACTTCTAAGGTCCTTCCATATTTCAAAACAGATAAATCGACTGCCAAATTAAAGAATCATCATATGTGGTGCCTATCATGTGTGGTACCCGTTGCACAGAATCACAGAATCAGAGTGACTTAGGTTGGAAGAGACCTTAAAGATCACCAAATTCCAACCCCCCTGCCATGGGCAGGGTTACCAACCACTAGAAAATCCTTAGTTTGTAGGGTTGCAATGGAAACAAGTTGCCTCTTCCTCAGCAAGGGCAACATGAAATATGTCCAATAACTATTTACAGTAAGAAATTGTCCAATCTATGCCTTCTTTGTACTTTATCATACATATGCTACTTTTTAACTCAAAATTAATACACTTCCACACTTTTCCTGCCTTTAGAAAAACTCTTTAATAGTCTAGATACTGCATGCTTTTTTCCTCACACATAGATATTTCTCAAAAGGAAATCAAGTTGTATTCTTCTTCTTTCAGAATACTACTGAATACCAAAACCAAACTGGACAGTTAGCTAAGTATGTGAGGTCTTCTTATCAGAAGATCACTATTCAAGATCTTAGTCCAAACTATCTGTCTAACCTGCACATTATCTTATAATCCAAAACATAGTTTATCCCAGCTGTCTGGGAAACATGCTCAGAGAGTAACAAGACAACGGAGACATTCACTCTGTTTTGGTTTCTGCGTTTCAGATCTTTTCTTCGTGACACCTGGTCCCTAGAGAAGCACAGTGCAAGTAAGAAAAATATCTATACACCTTTTATTTGTTTTCTGAAATAAGTAATTTCTGTGTTTGAAAAATAGAGGTTAAAGATAAATATGAACTAGATCCTTTTTCTTGACAAGAATAAAGCAGGAGTATTTCATCTTATAAGATGCTATTTATTTGCAAAAGTATACTGTCATTTACACATCATACCAAGAAGCATAGATTATAGACTAAATATAGAGTATTTACTGCATTTTATTCTTTCCATTGCATTCAAACACACATAGGAAATGCAAAGGACCAAAATCAATCCTGCTATATTTCTGCTGAGATACTGCTCGACTTAAATTTCTTTATACACTGTTTTTGTGGTTACTACTGGAGCTATGTAGAAATATATTCCCATAAAAATAGTAAGTAGCAAAACAAAATACAACCAACAACAACAACAAAAAGACATTAAGTAACTCATTGATGAGTACAGATTATTAAGCTAAATAAAAAAAAGCTTTTTTTCAAACCTCCACATCCACCTTTTCTTTTTATTTTATTTTATTTTTTAAAGCTCACTCCTTGGATTGAGCTCAACTGGTTAGAAGGAACTGCCCACGCATCAAAGGATATGCCTAAGAGTTGCAGAGTGAAATTTTCCTTTTATTAAGATGAATGATAGAGTTAGATGATAAAGTGTACCGTAAGATTTGTTCATAGTAACCTTGCTGATCAGATATTACAGCCTTACACACATTTAAAAATCTCTGTTCACCTTCTTGTAAGGTATAGAAAATATCTGGTGCTCCTATTTAACATTTCTATTCATAACCTATCTAGTATTTCTATTAGTAATCTATTTACCATTCCTCTGTAGAGAATTCAGTTTTATATCAAAGGTCAGAAGATGTTTTCATAAATGGCAAAGTGACCATCTTAAATCATGTACATTGAAACTATTAACTCATAAGACAATCAGCAACATAAGACTGACAATACCTATGCTAATTCCTCATAGCAGAGATATTCCTTAATGAATTCAGAAAGATTGGGGATATTTTATCAGGAATAATTAGCAGATATGTGTTAAAAACCTCTGTAGCTGACATGCTGTATACTGGCAAAATACATGAAGGACGCGGCACATAATTATGCCATTACTGTGGCACAACATCAGAAATGAGTTGATAGGCTGAAAGTAAAATGAAGTTCTAGAAAGAAGGAATTAGTTACACTGGTTGGACTATACAAGAGTCAGACTAAGACATGGAAATTAATGCAGCACAGCTGACAAAACATTTATCTTTATACAAGGTAGAAACAAAATTAATTATGTAATAAAGAAATTAAAGCTCTTAAATCCTCCTCTACAGACTCAGCTCTGTCCTTGGAATTGTGCTTTTCATTTCCAATGAATCATTTTACATTTTCTAGTTACCATACATGGGATTAATTGAGTAAGGCGGCTCAGAAAATTAAAGACAGTACCATCTGATTAAAGGAAATCAGCACAGGGGGAAAAACTTGTCTCTATTGTTAGCAATTGGAAAAAAAAAAACACAGAACAGTCAGTCTGCATAATTACGTACATGAACTCAAAGCATCAGCTATTCAGTCCTCTGTGGCTATGCATTACTCAGAATTACTATACTGCATAGTACTAAGGTTCTATCATCCTAGCACTGAAAGAGTAAGAAAATTACTGAAAATGAATTGAAAATTCTAGGTCCATATAATTCTTCCCACAGAAGGGGCAGTAAAGCATTCAAACAGGCTATCCAGGGAGGTGGAAGAGTCACCACCCCCAGAGGTATTTAAGAAGCATATGGTTGTGGCACTGAGGGACATGGTGTAGCAATGGACTTGTAGAGTTGATGGCTGGACTTGATCTCAAGGTCCTTT